CCTTCTGGGGCATGCCAGGAAGACTGACTCCTTCTAGAATCTTGCATGCGGCTCCCGCCTCTGACCCTGACCCTTGAGCGATGGTAGGTAGTCATTGTATAAGAAAAATGGGAATGAGGGAAAGTTTGGGGAAAAGAAGAGGGAAGAAGTCCCTGGCCAGGTCAGAGTGGGGAGTCCCCTCCCTAGGACAGCAAGTACAATATGGGAGGGGAAGTGTGTCGGAGCAAGAGGATTTTTTCCTCAGGGATCCTCTGCCTGAGGTTAATGGGAAGGTGTTTCCAGAAGGTTCCTCCAAAAAGGGTGGGAGTGTCTACTGCTGCAGGCCAGAACGAGGAGAGCCCCAGGGAGAGCAAAGCAGCATTGCTCAGCTGCTGCTGCCTCTCTGAGAAGCTCTTCTAGCCTGGCCCCTATGGAGAAGGGGACACTGAGGCACACATTTAGCCTAGCAGGCGAGACCACTGCTTCTGACTCCGGCTTCCTGTTGCTACGTACGCCGGGAGGCAGTGATGATGGCTCTAGTGGCTGGGTCCCTGACGCCCACATGGGAAACCTGTACTGAGCTTCCTGCTCCCAGTTTGACCTGGTCCAGCTCCAGGTATGATGGGTATTTGGGGAGTGAACCAGGGGTTAGATATCACTTTCTCTCTGTCTCTCAAATAAATATATTTTTGTTTTTTTAAATGATCTTTTCCAACTTAATTTTTTTTAAAAAAGCTTTATTTTTATTTACCAGGGTAAGTTGAGAGATTCAACTGAAACAGCATCAAAAAGCCCAGGGTGATGAGTGCGGAGGGTGGTGAGTTCAGTGGGAATGAAACCCCTCGTTTCTCATCCAGCATCAACCTCTTCATGGAACAAAGGCAAGGACAATCCAGCCCAATATCTGATGCAAGAGGAAGAAACAGCTGCGACTGGGGCGAAGGACTTTCCAGCACAACGAAAGGCAAAATTTACCTCCAGACAGAGACAAGTGGCCCAAAATACACAAGAGTATTTTAAAAAAAAAAAGTGAAACACACTCATGGGTGACAGATTTATAATGGGATTATTGATTCAAACACAGATCCTGTCCCTGTATTTTTCAGCCCCTCCCAAGAGATCCTTGCTCATGGCTGGGCAGTGACTCAGGGAGGCAGTGACTCAGGGAGGCAGTGAGTGAGCAATGGAAAATGGTCTGGTTGCTACCGGAGCTAAAAATGGCCAGTACCAAGGTCCTCCCTCTCCTCTCATCTCCCTCTCTGAGCCTTGGTGTCTTTGTAACAAGCCTAACAGAACTGCTCACTGTTCCAGGAGGTGAATGAAATCAAACATGTAAGCGCCCTGGCACGCACTCATGAGAGTACAGGACCAGTGTTAGGAGGCAGCAGGGTAAGCTACCTATGTCATTTGCGTCCCATATCAGAGCCCTGATTCAAGTTCTTGCCGCTCCACTTTTTAAATTTAATTTTCTCTTTTTTACGATTTATTTATTTTTACTGGAAAGGCAGATCCACAGAGAGAAGGAGAGACAGAAAGATTTCCCATCTGTTGGTTCCCTCGTCAAGTAGCCGCAACAGCTGGAACTGAGCCGATCCAGAGCCAAAAGCTTCTCCTGAGTTTCCCACATGGGTGCAAGGTCCCAAGGTTTTGGGCCGTCCTCAACTGCTTTCCCAGGGAGCTGGATGGGAAGTTAGGCAGCTGAGATACAAACCAGTGCCCATATGGGATCCCAGTGCATGCAAAGCAAGGAATTTAGCCACTGAGCCATTGTGCCAGGCCTACCATTCCACTTTCAATCCAGCTCCCTGCTAATGCAGGACCCACCCTCACCCTAAAGAACATACAGCTGCCAAGAGCCAAGCTGAAGTCCAAATCCACTATCTGGGGAAGAAGGGGATATGGTCTAACTGCATGGGTCCCTGACATCCAACTAGGATACCCAGATGCAGCTGCAGGCTGTTGGTTGCAGCCTGGCCCAGGCCTGCTGTGGTGGTCCTTTGGAGAGTGAACCAGCACGTATCGAATTCCTGGGGCTAGGTGGCATGCCAAGTGCTTTAGCCTCTCTTTCAGCCACTGCCCCACATCCCAGGAAGGCAAGAGCCGGGTCTCTCTTGTTCCCACCGTTTTGCCAGTCTCAAGCTGGCATTCTCTTAGGTGATGACAATAACAGCACCCTGTGGCCTCATTTTGACACCCTCTTGGCACAATACTGTATGTTTCTAATCCTCATGACAATTCTCAGGGGAAGTACCATCTTGCCCATCATCTGAACCACAAAGAGAGGTTGGATCACTTTCCTAGTGTCACCAAGCTAAGCAGAGAAAGGATGTGAACCCTCCAGTTGGTGCCCTTGGCTCCTGGGCTCACTGAGAGTGTTGAGAGAGATCCCCAACTTTACCACAGACTACTTTACAGAGACAGCAATCAACGCTAAGAGAGAAGCTCGGTTATTGCCTCAAAGCATGCCTGGGATTGGCTCTAGTGTGGCCAAGCAAAATGCTTCTGAAGAGATTCACTTTACTTCCCCATACTTCTGGCCCAAGTGTGGGGACCCAGCTTTTTCTAAAGGGCTCCCCGCAACAGTGCACAGTGTCTTGACCCCTAAATCCAGCCCAATTGGAGAGCAATAGAGCAAGAATACTGATATCCCCAAAACTCAGAGGCAGCCTCCCCACCCCCCGCACTCTCCCCACCCACCTGCAGGCAGGTGTCTGCTGGTGAGTCTAGCTCTCAGGGAAGCACTGGCTGCAGGTGGATGCCACACTGTGCTTCCACTTGAAGCTACCAGCAAGGGAAGGCCTCGGAGGACCGAGGGCTGCCCTGATCCTGGCCTGCTAGCATAGGATGGTGACTGTGTCCTTCTAATTGGGAACTGGCAGTTTCCGATGTGGGGATTGGTCAAAAGATTTTTCATGCTCATCTCCCGACAAGAGCCGACTTCATCACTCACAACCTTGTTTCCCATCACTCATGTCCTTGTCCACTAGCCGGCATCTGGCTCACGGTAAATGTCTCATGATAAGTTAGGGATGTGACAGATGCCATTAACATAACAGCCCCATCCATCCTCTGGGTGGGCTGGTGTGGAGAGGAGGCCGAGAGAGGGACAGAGTCAGAAGAGAACAGCTTCTGACAGCAGACATGGGAAGTTCAATCTGGCCTCTGGGTTTCCTAGATAGGGAATCTCTTGGTATCCAAGTTTCTGCACTCATAAAGTCGGGGAGAGAAAATTTTTGAAGACTTGTTCTATTTGTTTGAAAAAGCAGATTTGCACTGACAGAGCAAGGGAGAGACAGAAAGACCTTCCGTCTGCTGGTTCACTCCCCAAATGGCACAACAGCCAGGGGCTGGGCCAGGCTGAAGCCAGGAGCTTCTTCGTGCTATTCCCATGTGAGTGCAGGGATCCAGGCACCTGGGCCATTCTCCATGGCTTTCCCATGTGCACTAGAAGGGAGCTGAATTGGAAGTAGAGCAGGCAGGGCTTGAACCGAGTCCATATCGGATATTGGTGCTTCTGGGAGGAGACTCGTTGGAAGAGCTTGGGAAACTCCTTCATTGGGATATCTCTTATGGGAGTGCACAGGGTCCCACATGTGTTGCAAGTGGGACTGCTCTCTGTTGAGCCCAGGCAGTGTACTGATCAAGAAATCCTGCCTAGTTTTCCAGTCTCTACCAAAGCAACAGCTTGCCCCGTCTTGTCTCCTCTCACACTGCACCTTCTAGTCAAGAAACAGCCATTCAGGGGCCAGAGTCCTGGTACAGCAGGTCAAGCCACCACCTGCAGTGACAGTGTTCTGTATAGGAACACCGATTCATGTCCTGGCTGCACCACTTCTGACCCATCTCCCCGCTACAGCACCTTGGAAAGCAGTAGAGGCCGCCCCAGTACTTGCGTGTGTTCTAAGTTAGATAAGACTGCTCCTGGGCCCAAGGAGGTCACAGAAGAGATAGCTGAGTGGGTGGCAAACACGGACCCTGGAGTCCCTGGCACATGATCACCTGCACTGATGACACGTGGGCCTTGAGACAGGAACAGCTGCCACTCCCGGCTTTCAGCTGGCATCACTGGCTGCCCCTGTGCAGCCACCAGGAGCTCCATCCCTGGGAAAGGGCTCTCCTCTTTCTCTCTTCCCCTCACACACTGACAACCTTCCCACTGTGTCTGCTCAGGGCCTTGGGAAGGGCATCTCCAGGCCTTACTGCAGAGCTGGTAGATCAGGACCAGGAGGTGCCCAATAGCTGGCCGTTGAGTGGACGAACGGGAGAATACACAAGGTCCTGAGTTTGTACATGGAACACTCCTAGTGCCAGCTTGGGGAAGATGTCCAAGTGCCCACAGACACACTCCAGGGAGAGTCAAGAGGGCTTTTGCTTGCCCATGGGCACCCCTGCTCCTGACCCTTTTCTCACTGACTTTATGCTCCAGCTCTTTTCCCTTCCACTGACGGGACACCATCCCCAGCTTCACACCTAGGCCCTTTCTTCTCCCCTCTTTTCCAACCACACACACACACTTCTTGCCCAGAACACTTGTCCCTTCCCTGTTGTACCTTCTGCATGAGGGTCCCAAATTTAAGCCTCTGTGACAGCAGCCTATCCTCCCACCCCACTCAACCCCACCCCAGCCCAGCCCAAGGACCTGTCCCAGCCCACCCCAGGGAGCATATTCTAGGCCGGGCTCTGCCCAGAGACCCAAGCCACTATCTTCTGGAGCCAGAACCAATTGGGCCTTGCTGTATCCTCTTGGCCCCCCATCCCTGCCCACCAGCACCCTGCAGAACCCATTCAGTTCCCGCAGCGCGCCCTGGCCCCTGCGCTGCCTGCAGCGGGAGCTGCCAGCTTTTTGGAATTCCTAATCGCTCCTGGCCCCGGTGATTGGCTGCTCAGCTCTGACCCCACTTGGGCTGCCGCCTGGTTGGATAAAAAGAGAGTCTCCTTGGGGCTCCAGAGCATTAGACATCGGAGGGGGCACCTGGGACCAACTTCGCAAAGAGGGGAGCTCGGTGGGGGGGTGGGGGGAGCCCAAGACCTACGGCCTCAGCCGCTCCAAAGAACCGGGAGATGACGGGCAAAGCGGGGGAAGCGCTGAGTAAACCCAAATCCGAGGCAGTAACCAAGAACACCTCGGGGGGCACCCCGGCCAGGTGCACAGGGTTCGGCATCCAGGAGATCCTAGGTTTGAACAAGGAGCCCCAAAGCTCCCACCCACGGGCTGCCCTCGACGGCTTGGCCCCTGGGCACTTGCTAACGGCTCGCTCGGTGCTAAGCCCCGCAGGAGTGGGCGGCATGGGGTTGCTGGGACCCGGGGGGCTCCCCGGCTTCTACGCGCAGCCCACCTTCCTGGAAGTGCTGTCCGACCCGCAGAGCGTCCACTTGCAGCCGCTGGGCAGAGCGTCGGGGCCACTGGACACCAGCCAAACGGCCAGCTCGGGTAGGTGAAGGCGAGGCTGCGCGACTGCCGCACCGCGGGCAAGAGCCCGGAGCAGCCCCCGAGACGTTGGCTCTCGCCCGCCAGCCGGAAAAGGTCTCCTTCCCTCGGCAAAAGTTACTACCAGGCCCAGGGGTCGCAGTCCGGTCCTGCAGCCGCCGCACTGGGCAACGGGGCTGCGGGGGTCCGGAGGATGCTTGGGCTCTGCGGGGTTCGGGGCCCCAGGATTTCCCGGCTTCAGTGCAGTTTTCTCGAATCCCCGCGTTGAGCCCGACTCGGCCCCGGCACCTAGTGGGGACTGCATCGGAAATGGGGTTCGGGGTGGCAGCAGCCGTGGTGAGGGGTCTCCGAAAGGGGCTAGCGGTTCCTGGTTTTGATGCTCGCCTGCGGCCACGGCCTTCTGAGCTCCGGGAAGGCTGTAGAGTGCGCTAGGCGGTTAGGAAGGCGGTGGCGACGCCCGACCTGGTCCTGGTGTCCAAAGTTGTCTTCTCCCCCACCTCCCCCCGCCCGCCCCTCATTCTCTCTCCATTCCCAAAGCCCCTTGCATCTGTTGGTGGGGAGCTACCTGTCATCCCGAGAACTCGGGCAAACGGAGTACCGCGGTGGCCAACCCAGCAGCAGCCCCGCACCACTCGGCTCCGTGCGCCTCGCAAGGTTCGGGGACCCGGGGTGACCTCGCTACGCCCTCCCCGGGCCACTTGCCTGCTCGGCCCTGGGTACGCTCGGCTAGCTTCCCTCACCTCGCCGGATTTTTCGTTTCGTTAGGATTTTTCTTTTATTTGGAAAGACAACGAAAAGTGGTGCATCTCAGGCTCTCCAGCCTGGAGCAGGGACGCATTGTGCGGGCGCCAAGAAAAAGGGGCCGCGCTCAGGAAGCCCTCCTCAGCTCTTGGAGCCCGGATCTCCGCAGGGGATCCCACTCCTAGGGGCCAACTTTTGGCACCGGAAGCCGGGACTGTGGGCGCAGCGCAAGGCGCAGAGCCAGGAGCGCGGCTGGGGATCCTTGCGACCCTCGGAAGCTGCCTCACTCTTCCACCCGGGCCTTTGCCTCTCTTACAACGAAATCTGCTCAACAGCTCCAGATCACCGGCGCCGAGTGTGGGTGGGACCGGCCGGGACTCAGGGATGCGCGCGGTGGTCCGGGGACCAGAAGGGCTTCCGGGGCAGACAGCACGCCCTGGCGAGACGCGGGCGCGACCGAACGCACCCTATCTTCTGCCGCATGCCCTTTCGCCCGCTTTTCAGATTCAGAAGATGTTTCCTCCAGTGACCGGAAAATGTCCAAATCGTCGTTAAACCAGACCAAGAAACGGAAGAAGCGGCGACACAGGTAAGGCCCCTCTCGGCGCTTTTTTTGGAATCCCCTCCGATCCCTTACCAACCCGCTTCCGCCCATACCCTTCCAGGCTAAGATCTCCCAGACCCTATTCCCTCCGACCCCTCCAATCTGAGGTCCCTGGCCGTACCAGGGTGCAGAGATCTGGTGGTGTGAATCAGCCGGTGCCGGCTAAGGGTGAAGATTGGCGGGTTTTTTTCCTCCTGCTCCACGAGACAGGAAAGGCCGGGAGCTGGGCCCAGCTGGAGCGCAAGAGGAGTGGGCGGCCCTGTTTCCCACCCAGAGCTCAGCGCGAAGGCCGGCTGCAGATTCCCCAGCTCTGGCCATCTCAGCCCTCTCTGCTAGCCACTCACGTCCTGCCCCCACGGTTCCTCCCCACCCTAGGCTGGGGCGGCATCGGCCCGGGCGAGCATTTTCTTTCTGCTTCTGTTCTTTGGTGGTTCTGAGCGGCGTGCTTCCCCTCCGAGCGCCTCGATTTCCCCATCTGTACTATGGGGGATGGAGAGAGGAGAATGGCCCAGGTAGTGGTTCTCATATCTTGTTGGAGTTGAGCCATCTGTAACGGGCTGTAGAGTGCATACAGAATTGCTGTTCTTTTAAATGTAGACATGAATCCCAGGGAGTTAAAATGCACTAGATTCCGAGAAACAATTCAGAAAATTCATCGACCCTGTCCCCTTTCCGTCCCCAGACCGTCATTCCCCAACTCGTGGCCACCACAGCTCCCAGTGCCTAGTGTGCATTTAGTGTAGGTTTTTAAGGCAGTAAAGGAAGAGGAGCAAAAAATCTGCCTGCCTTATCTCCTGGGCTGCTGTCCGCTCCTCTCCTGGGACTTCCGCGCCCTGGCGCACCGGCTCCCTGTCCCGCCGCACCCCTTCCGTCTCCCCGTTCATCCTCAGCCTCTTGGCACCCACTGGTAGGCGCCCCCCGCCCCCGCGCAAGTGACACCATCTTTTAAAACGGCATCTTCCTGACCTCTGGGGTCCCAGTGGGTTCTGTCTGGTGAGGGTGTATTTTGATTTGATTTGTTTTGTTGGGGGAGATGGTCTGGATTCGTTGCCTCCAGCTACTGTTTGCTTTTTGGTTAGCTTAATTTTAAATGGAAACAGAAGAGAAAGGTCTTGTTTCTGATCCTTTTGACTATCCATTCTCTCAACGATTATTCATTACAACGTCTTTTCTACAGCCATCTCCTACTCCTCCCAGGGTGGAGATTCCCGCCTGTTGCCCCAGCAGGGACTGTGGGGTACCGGGAGGGCCAGACTCCCGCGCTGTATGCCTGGCCCTGGAGGCAGTCCCCGAGCCAGGCCAACCCTGGAGAAAGCTTGCACCAAGCTCTGTTGCTGCGGGGGCGGTGCTCTGCACTTGGAGTTGGGTAGCCCCCTGCCCAAAGTCCCTACTTTGGGGTCCCCATACTCTGTCGTCACTGCTTTCCCGCTGCAGCTGCACCTGGGACACGGGCGGGGGAAGGGGACTTCGCTGGGAAGCCCGGGGGAATGAAGGGAGAGCTACGTTTTCTCTCTGCCTCTGGTGTCTGAAGGGAATACATTATTGGAAAAGGAACAATAGTTTCAGATTTCTGTGTAGTTTTTAATTAACAAAAAACTAAAAACGGTGTTTTCCTGAGCTTGGGGGGGGGGCGGGGTTGGGAGGTAAGAATCCGGTTATGACGTGGGCCAGGTTGGGGATGGAGCAGCGCGTTCGACCCGGTTTTGCTCTGCTGACCTCCTAGCCCGGAGTTCTGCGGGAGCCTAGAGCAGGCTTTGGATCTCGTGGTGGGGCAGGGGTTACCTGCTGGCAGCGTAGGCTGCTCCAGCATCAGCACGTGCACCTGCCTCGAGTTGGAAGTTAGGGGAAGTTAGGTGTTTGTTCGTTTTGTTTTCTTGTTTGGCATGAGGGCCCAAGGTGAAGTCCTTGCGTCATTATAAATGACCAATAACCCGCGCTCTCCTCCCGGACTCTGGCCACGCTCCACTCCCTGCGTACCTCAGTCTCCCGGTTTGGGAGAGGACTTGCACTGTTTTGATTGCTTAAGTTGATCTGTTCAGGGGTCTTTTGGCAGGCGGCAGGAGAGAAACGGAACACAGCAGATCTTCAAAATTCAGAAGAATTTTCTCCTTCAACGGTTCCCACCCCCACAAGCTTGTGATCTTTCTTCTTCCCATGCCTACTCCTGTGTGGGCTGAGGGCACAGCATCTAGGGTTGGCAGGGGATCGAGCTGGCCATGAGCCATTCTCTCAAGGTCAGTTTGTCCAAAAAGCAGGTACAAAGCTGCTGCTAGCTTGATAGTAGAAGTCCAGAAGGGTTACTTAAAGAATGGGGTTTGCGAGCCCCCGGTCTTGGGGACAAACACTTCTGTGTTTGGAAGCATTTTCACTGATGGTTGATTTTTCCGCAGTTTAGGTCGCGAAGTGGTTCCACGGGAACTGCTCTGTGGTGGGTAGGGACCATCCCTGCAGGCTGGGATGCCCACCTGCCAGCCAGTAAGGGGCTGAGCCTGAGTGGAACGGTTGGATAATGGACAAAGACCGGACACGCAGCTCTGGCGGGCTGGTTGCTCTGCGTGGGGGCGTTGGATGAACAGGGAACTGGAAAAGAAGAGCTGGGGGCAGGGCAGGAGTGGTGTGTGGGAGTGAAGAGCCAGTTCCCGGCATCACGAAGCACCAGCTGCCTTTGGCCTCACAGCAAATCTTGGGATTCGGAATGGGATTGGGAGAGGGACATGGTAGCAGGTCTTCCTGGGATGGAGCGAAAAGGGGACTTCCAGCTATTTTCTAAGAAGTTCTTCCTTTTAAAAAATTTATTTTTTATTGATTTGAAAACAAAAGTTACAGAAAAAGAGGAGAGACAGAATCTTCCATTCACCAGTTCACTCCCCAAATGCCAGCAACACTTGGAGCTGGATCAGGTTTCAAAACTTGGGTCTTAGAACTCCATCCGGTTGCCTACCTGTGGCAAGAACCCAAACACCTGGGCAGTCTTCTGCTGCCTCCAAGGCACCTTAGCAGGGAGTTGCTTACAGCCTGGGAAAGCAGCAGAGGACAGCCCAAGTCCTTGGACCCAGCACCCATGTGAGAGACCTGGCTCCCAGCTTTGTCCCAGCTTTGGATCAGCTCAATTCCAGCCGTTGCTGCCATCAGGGGAGAGAAACAGCAGATGGAAGATCTTTCTCTCTATCTCTTCTTCTCTGTGTAAATCTGCCTTTCAAATTAAAAAATAAACAAATATTTAAAAAAAAAAAAGAGGGTCCGGCATAATAGCCTTGTGGCTAAAGTCCTTGCTCTGCAACCACCAGGATCCCATATGGGCACCTGTTCTAATCTCAGCAGCCCCATGTCTCATCCAGCTCCCTGCTTGTGTCCTGGGAAAGCAGTGGAGGACAGTCCAAAGCCTTGGGACCCTGCACCCACATGGGAGACCCTGAAGAGGCTCCAGGCTCCTGGCTTCATATCGGCAGCACAGCTCTGGCCATTGCAGCCACTTGAGGAGTGAATCATTGGATGGAAGATCTTCCTCTCTGTTCCTCTGTTCCTCTGATGTGGATGGCCTGAATGGCAGCTTAACCCACTGCATCACCACACCCAACTCTTGGATCGCCTTACTGCTCACTCTTCCAGAGCACCTCCAAAGGGAAGATTCCCGGTGTGACATCATGCCCACCCTTACCCCGGGAAGGTGGTATGAGCCTTCAGCCTTGACTGATGAAAACTAGAAAAAGAGCAGCAAAGGGAGAGAAAAGAGACAGAGCAGAGAGATGCTATGCCTGACTGGTATCTGAGGGCGCTGGGTTAGCCTGGCTTTGGGGTCTGGTCAGCAGACACTGGGTAGCCATTCTCTTCTCTCTGAGACCCGCCTTTTCCCTTTCTGGGGTCCTGAGTATCTGGTTTTGCTCCCTCAGGACGATCTTCACCTCCTACCAGCTGGAGGAGCTGGAGAAGGCGTTCAATGAGGCCCACTACCCAGATGTTTATGCCCGGGAGATGCTGGCCATGAAGACGGAGCTGCCGGAAGACAGGATACAGGTAACCGTTCCACCCCTTGCTCCCACACGTCCCCATTCTCAGGCACATCAGCTTCTGCAGGGCCTGGGATGCAAGACCTGCAGGTGCAGCCCATCTTGCCCTCTTCCTCTGGGCTGTGGGTAGGCCAGGGCCTGCTGCTGGCAACAGTGGTACCTCCCCAAGCCCCTAAGCCACCTGCCCATTGGCTGGATGGCGATGGGGTCCCTGAGTCACTTCCCATGGAGAAGAGGGGTCTGGTGCTTGTGTAGGCAGTACCTTTGTGAGGTAGAGGTTTGGGGGGGGCTGGGAGGATCATTTCCTGAAGTCCTGGGGTAGCCCATCATCTGAGTGAAACAGAGAGGGGTTTACTGTGAAGCTGGGGCAGGGGACAGGAGTGGGGTCCTGACTTCCTGAAACTCCTTTCTAGTGCAGGACCTCTGCATCCACAGGTGTGCCGCGGGGTGGTGATGAAGGGCAGGCAGCGAAAAAGGGAGCCCGAGTGGCTTTGTACTCTTGCTGGAGAACTAGAGAATGGGCTTGGGGTTAGAAGCTGCTTTCCCAGGAGGACGCTCCTCTCCCTGGACATCTATTTGGAATTTCTATTTGGAATGGCTCTCCACATTGACACGAACAATAAGCTCAATTATCCATAAGCAGATTAGGTTTGGTGCAGGATCCACGTCAGCCCGGCTCCCTCCCTTCCGCCTCTGCCCCTCTGCCTGCTGCAGGGCAAGCCCGGTGTTGATTCTGAATCCTGCGTGTTCACACCTGCTGCCAAGGCCAGTCCCTACAGTGCACATGTGACAGTAAGCCCTGTCCAGCCACAGCCTACAGCCTGCTAAGAGGTCCTGAAATCTCAGAACTGGGGCTATGGAGACAGCCCTCCCTCAGCCACCAGGATCCTAGTAGGCACCTGTATCCTGTATCCTGATGCGCTAGCATCAGTTCTTGGGCCAGTGTCGGAAGCCTTCGGTATAGCCGGAGGAGTTAGAGATGGAGCAAGCAGGGCCTGGGAGCCATGGGGATTGGCCCCTGGGATGTGTGGGAGAATCCAGGTGAGAGTCCCTCGGACCCTGCGGGCCCCACAGGGCTAGGAGCTGCTCCCATCCAGGACAGAGATTGGATGGGAATGCAGGTGCTGAGCCCAGGGTGCTCGGATGGGCAATGCAGATGTTTCAACCTCCATACTAACCGCTTGTCCCCAGACACACTTCTACTCTGTGTCCCTGCCAGGAGTGGGGCTCTGAGCCTGTCAACTACTAACAATATTCTTTTTCCAAAGTGGTAACTTAACATAGAAGTGTTAGTCCTGGCATAGGTTTGTTCTTCATCCTTGGCCTGGCTGTTAAACACCTGCCAGGTCTTAATTCATGAACTCCTGCAAATAAGCAGACATGTCAGGCGCTGTTCTCACTCCCATCTCCTGGGTGGAGAGACCAGGAGCCTGGGCAGAGAGGAAGACAGAGGACTGAGACCCAGCCAGTACTCACCCAACTACCCTGCATGCCCTCACAAGTCTGCCTGGACCATGATCAGGAAGACCCAGGGGCCAGGGCTGATTTGCTCTGCTTTGAGCACGGCTGTTGCCTCGTTCTGGTATCTTTCTGGGCTGGGGATGGGAGCAAATGGTCCCTTCCTAGAGATAGCCAATTCCAAGTCCCCATGATAGACTCAGGCACACAGTCTTTTGGAGTCTAGAAAAAGTAAAAAGAAAAATAAGTTGATGCTGGGAACGGGCCAGAGATCAGCATCGGTGGGGTGGGATGGGGGGGGGACAGGTTTCCAGATCAGAGCATATAAATATCGGCTTGTCTCTTTTCCCGATGAAAGTCTTGCTTGTTATGAAATGCAAACGTTGCTGAGCTACAGCGCTCGGTGCCCAATGACCCTTCCACTCCTGGCAGCCTCCTGTATATGGAGAGGGGAGCTGACCAGCGCTGCTTGTCTTGGCCTCTGCTGCAGGGTTCCCTGACCAAGACCAGATAACAGAGTGTTCATCCCAGGACCTCACTCGGCTCACCCAGGTGTAGACTGAAGATGCCCACACAGCGCCGCCACTCCTGGAAATCCTGGTTTAGTCGTTGGAGTGGACACTCTCTCCCTTCTGTAAGGAAAGCCTCAGGCAGCGCCAGCGCAGCAGTTCTGGGACAGAGGCAGAATGGCAGAGAGTAGAGTCCGGGGTGTCAGGGGCTTGGCATGTGGAAGGTGTGCATCCAAGGATGCTGCTTGGTGTGGTCGGAAATGTAGGCAGAACTGCCCCCTAGTGGACATCACAGGCTACAGCAGGGACGGGCCGCTTTGGGCCCTGAGCTGGGTTGGAATGCAGGTGCCAGCTACAACAGGAGAAGTACTGAGTTACTGTGGAGTGCCAGGACCCTTAGGAATCCATCTATTTCCAGCCAGAGAGGAGCAAAGAACCTGTGTGAACAGGGCAGATGCTTCCATATGGTCAATAAAGCCAGGCCTGACAGGATGTGCCTAGATCAAAAGGCAGGTCACAGGGAAGTGACCAGAGGTGTATCCTATGGGCAGGTGTCCTTCCTGGCGCCAGGGCACCTTTGGGGGGCCCCCAGGCAGGTACATACACTGTGAGCAGCTAGGAGCACCCCACCTGGGCTTTCTACACACCTCTGTGGCATCACTACTCAGAGGGCTGACACCAGCAGGTGTGTAGACCCACACGCTGGGAGTCCTCCCAGCCCACCTGTGCCTGGGACCGTAGTCCTGGTGATTGGTGTCATTTTGAGCTCCTGATCAGACAGGTGTCAAGCAGGGCCTCTGATGTTTGCTGGGTTCCTGACAAGCCTGGGACCAGAGGAGCTGCTGGGAAAGAGAGAGAGCTGCTGGGTGAACCTCATGAAATTTCAGAACCCTGAGCCAAAGCAGGCCGAGTGCCCAAACGCTGAGGCGGAATCTCCTGGGGGGGGGGCAGACAGGAAGAGTGGAAGGAATTCCCAGGCATCCCTGGAGAGGCTCATGGGGAAGCCAGGTCTCTCCTTGCCCAGGAACCCACCGCAGACCCCTCGGCTCAGCTCTCCCCAGGCCCGTCCGCCCGTGGTGATATTTGGTGTCTACAGTCCTGGGTGAATGGGGAGGAGGATGCTCAGCTGGAGTTAGCAGAGTGCTCCAGCCTGGGTCCTCCAGCTTCTGCACTGCAGGGACCGAGGGTGCTACTGGCAGCCTCTTGCATTTGACCTTCAAGGGCCCGCATTGTGCCTTCTGGGGACCAGAGCAGCTGGGGCAGATGTTGGGCCCTCTGGATGGAGGTCAGCAGGGAGGCTCGGGGCCGGCTGCGTTAGGCAGTGCGTCCTGGCGGTGCGCTGTGGCTTGCTTCACCCACCTCCCGCAGCTGCCATGGTTACCGTGTCTGTGTTTGGTGGGGCTGGCCTTGCTGAAGGGCCCGCACATGAGGCCAGAAGCCGTCACTGATGAGCCTGCCTTGTGGGCGCACTCCCTGTGTGCCTGTGCTGAAATAGCTGGGACTGACTCTGAGCTTGTTAAGCAGAGATCTCAGGCTCTCACTGATCTCATTTAACCTGCAAAACAACTCAAAAAGCTCTGGTGACCTGCTTGGCTGACCCTGAGACTGTGAAGTCAAGTAACATGGCCAAGGTCACACGGTAGGCATTTACAAAGATTTACTTACTTCAGGGTCAGTTGGTGTGGTGGTGTAGCATGCTAAGCCTCTGCCTGTGGAGCCATTTCAAGTCCCAGCTGCTCTTCCTGTGACCCAGCTCCCTGCTAATGGCCTGGACGACAGTGAAGGATGGCTCAAGTACTTGGGAGCCCCCAAAGAAGCTCTGATTCCTGGATTTGGACCTTGCCTATCTCTGACCATAGTGGCTATTTGGGGAGTTTTGATGGAACTACTCTAAGTCTGCTTTTCTCTCTATAACTCCACCTTTCAGATAAATAAATCTTTATTCTAAAACAAACAAACAAACAAACTAGGGGAGGGGTGCAGAATGGCAGAGGAAGACAGAGACAAAGAGTGACTCTTCTCCAAATGGCTACAACAAACAATTAGGGCTGGGCCAGGCTGAAGCCAGAAGCCAGGAACTCTGTTGAGGGTCTCCCACATAGGTGACAGGGGTCCCGATGCTTGGGCCATCCTCCCCTGCCTTCCCAGGCACACTGAAGCTGGATCAGAAGCAGAGAAGCTGGCACCCAGAGTTGCAGGCGGTGGCAGCACCAGCTGTACCATTACAGCGACCCAGCACAGTTTTTTCAGAGCTAGGGACTCCAGCTCGGGAGCCAGCAGGGGACAAGAGAAGTGGTCAGGGAATGTGGTCAGAGTCCTCACTTGTCTGCCTCCTGCCAACCATCCTAAAGAGAGAGATGGCTCTGGCTGTGCAGGCTGCCTCCATCAATCCGGGCAGCAGCTGGTCCTCACGGAAAGCCAGGCGTTCCAGGAGCCCATAACCCAGGCTCTGGCTGACTCTCAGCTTCAGCAACCAGCTGGTACCTGCTCCCGGGGGGACAGCATCCATAGGCAATGTCTTGTTCACAGGCCTGTTGTTTCATCTGCCTGAGTGAACAGGCCCAGGAAGCTGGCTCTGATTCCAACTACCCCTGGTCACCCCTGCCCCGCAGGAGTCCAGCTCCTTCCCTCATGCAGCCCTGCCCCATCTCCAGCAGGGGGTGCCCATGAGCTCTGGGGCAAGTCAGCTTGGTGCACCTGGCCAGAGAGCCACGCTGGGCCCAGCCAAGGTAACTGTCTACTTTCCCCAGGACCCATGCTAGAAAAGGCAGGCTCCTTCCCAAATTTGGTGTCAAAACTCAGTGGAAAACGTGGGCCGTGGCTGTTCAGCAGGTCCATGCCTAGGAATACTGCAGGGATTGGTACTGTTGTACTGGCTGGGTGTGGCGTGATAGGGTTATGCACCCCATATTCTTTCTAAAAATCCCAGTCAAGGGGTGCTGGCATGGCTGCTCTAGTTGTGCAGGGCAGGGAGCAGGTGGCCCCTGGTGGTCATCAGGCAAGCCTTTCCCTTCGTCTCTCAGGGATGGGATTGGAGCCCATGACTGCCCCGCCAGGGGCTCAGTGAGGGGTGAATGACACCCGTGTCACGTCCACGTGGACGTAGAAAATTCCTTTCTGGTTTTGTCTCTAATGAAGAACGCAGCTGTAAGCCAACGGGTCCTTGCCAAATGGTAATGAGAGGGAGATGGGGCAGGACAGAGGCCCAGCTGAGGGAAGACAGCGGCCAGGCGACCTTGGAAAGAAATTAAGAGGGGCAGGTAGGAAGACCTGCAGTGGACTTCGTGGCCCAGCGCTCCACGCCCTTAAATACTCGCAGGACAGTCTTCTAGTGACCCCTCAGGGTCTTGCCGTTCGGTTGTCCAGTTCTCAGCAGGACCTGCCTGCAGGTGCCTCACCCGATAAGGGCAAAGGTGTGTCCCCTCCTCCTTCGGAGGCAGTGCCACTCCGGTTGGAAAGGCGATCGATGCGATGGGCTTCAGGGCGTCGCTCCCATTTTTAGAGGCTGCAGGTCAACAGGCCCCCCGCGTCAGGTCTACCCGTTGGGTCGCAGGGCTGACTGATGCTTTGCCAGTGCGGCTCTGTCTCTCTGGCGCCCCCTGCCGGCTGCAGCCGGCCTTGCTCCGCGCCACCCTCGGCGGCGGCCCGCGGTTGCCGGGCGCCCACTGCGCCACCTGGCGGCGGGTGGCGGTGGGCGCGTGCAGGTCCGGGTCCCGGCCGCCCACCCGCCGAGGCAGCGAAGGGGTTAAGCTGTCAGCGGCGCGATGTTAAACAGGTGTCAAAGGCGCCCCATATATCTGCACACTGAAATCAAATTCTTTGCCGTATAAAAAGATAAATTACCCAGGCGCTGCCGCGCGTCCCACTCATCACGCCAGCGCCAGACGGCAAGCCATTTTTTTTTTTTAATGTGCTAACGACCTAATCAAGCAATCAAGCCGGAGAAGATTGCGGAGTGACCGGGGCAGCCATCTGCCGGCGGGGGCTCCCCGCATTCACTCCTCGCCCCGCATCGGGGGTGGGGGGGCCGGGGCCAAGCTGGTGGGGAGAGGGGGGAGAAATCTCCACAAATTAACACCCAATTTTCCCCATCTAATTAGTTAAATGAGAAGTGCTTGGGGTCCCCCCCGGGGAGGGGGAGCGGCCTCCCCAGCATTAATTAGCGCGGGTCAATGGCGCCGCTCCCACGAGGGCCGCTGCTTTAATTTCCCGTGATATTTCAGAGCCTGAGGCCCATCGATTCAAACTGAAATTAACTTATTTTTCAATCAGCCCAGGGCTGCCCCTGGGGGTGACTCTTCTTTTGCCGCCTTCTGAATAGAGCCGGAGCCATTTTTCATCAGAAGCGGAGACCTCGGTCGCCCGGCTGGGGAGGAGGTGGCAGGGAACCGGGTTGCTGGGGGCTGCGAATGCGGGCGGTCTCCCGCACCTCAGCTGCCACCCGGGATGGGGCTAGGGGACCTTGGCCTCAAGCGCCCCCTGCCAGGGATCAGGACCTCCCAGGACTCTGCCCCATCTTCCTAGAATAGCTTTGACGTTTTAAAAAAATAATAATAAATAATAATAAAAGGCCCCCATTTTGGCCATGGGTCTGAAGCCACTCCGAGCCTGCAGGACCCACCCCACTCTGCTCCAAGGGCGTGACTCTGCGGTGAGACCCCCCCTGACCTCCTGTGCACTTGCAGGTCTGGTTCCAGAACCGCAGAGCCAAGTGGCGGAAGCGGGAGAAGTGCTGGGGCCGCAGCAGTGTCATGGCCGAGTACGGGCTGTATGGTGCCATGGTGCGGCATTCCATCCCCCTGCCCGAGTCCATTCTCAAGTCGGCCAAGGATGGCATCATGGATTCCTGTGCCCCATGGCTACTGGGTAAGAACCCTGTGCCCTCCTGGGTGGGTCCTGCTGCAGGAGAGGTGGAGCCCTGAGGCAGGGTACCTGGGCCATACCCTGTCCCCAGCTGTGAATGGGCAGGTGCACAGGGCAGGTGGGCCTGGGGCCTAGTGTGTCTACCCCTGGTGCCCACCCTGGGTGCCCACGACTGCATTCTCTTGTCCTGTATGTGTGTATGTGTGCATGTGTGTGCACAGGGGTCAGAAGGGGGCTGTCTGTCACCCCAGGGTCTCCCACCTGCTCTACCCCTCACTCCAAGAGAGCACCTGGTAACTGAGGCAGCTCTCTTGGGGGGGGGGGTTGGCAGGACCCCTACCGCTGCCCCTGGGGCAGGACCCCTATGTTCCCCCAAATCTTTCCACCTGCGGTCTGGTGTCTGCAAACAGCACAGCTTGTAGTGGGGTTCTGACTCAGAACCCCAAGGAGGGGCAGCAGGAGCCAGTGCAGTCCCCTGGGAGCCTAGCCAGGCCTGGGTATGCGACCGCAGCAGGCCCCTGCCCAGGGGGTGGGTGTGAAGCAGCAGTCTGCTGGCCGGGCTCCTAGTCCTGGTGTGCAGTCTCACCCGGGCACCTCCCTGTCCTCGCCCCACAGCCCTGCCCTGGGACCTGCGTGACTTGGGTGTGTGGAAGTTAAGGCTCTCTGCTCGTCCTTAATTCTGGCCTCTCTCTATCTCTGCCGTTTTTTCAGTTCAAGATGGCTTTCCCAGGCGCTTTTCTAAACCCGAATACCAACAATTCTTTTTAGGGATGCACAAAAAGTCGCTGGAGGCGGCAGCCGAGTCGGGGAGGAAGCCCGAGGCGGAGCGCCAGGCGCTGCCCAAGCTAGACAAGCTGGAGCAGGAGGAGCGGGGCGCCGACCCGCAGGCCGCCCTCTCGCAGGAGGAGCTGCGGGAGCACAGCATCGCCGCGCTGCGCGCCAAAGCTCAGGAGCACAGCACCAAGGTGCTGGGGACTGCGTCTGTGCCCGACGGCCCGGCCCGCGGCACGGAGAGGCCGCCGGAGGAGGAGGAAGAGCAGGAGGACACGGCTCACGACAGGCCGGCGGGGAAACTGAGCCCGCCGCAGCTTGAGGACATGGCTTAGGTCCAGAGCCCTGTGACTGCTCCTCCAGGGGCCTGCTGTCTGAGGCAGGGCCGGGCTGGGTGGCCTCTGTCACCTCCCCCCCTCGACACCCACAGGCCCTGTGACCCCACTTGTACTCCTGTGACTCCAGGCAGTCTCAGTTCTGGATACGGCTTTGGACCTTTGCGGCATCACAGCCTGCCTCCGGTACCCCTGCCTCAGTAGCCTTCTTGCTACCCGAGTGTCACTCCCTTTAAGGCACTTTTGCTCCACTCTGGTGACACTCCCTGTCACTGTCCCATCTCGCCCTCCGGCTGCTGTTTCCCTGGTGGCTTCTGTGGCTGCGGTTGCATGGCCTGCTGTGCGCACGCCAGGTGTTCCCCGAGCGTCCCAGAGCTCTGTTGCAGCCTGCTCCCAGCAGGTCCCTGCCACTCCTTAGGGCTCTGTATGTATCAGCGCCTCAGGCCCTGCAGCGTCACCCTTGGGGATCCCACCCCCCCCCAATCGGTCAGTTCCTTGACGTGTCCCTCTCCCCATATCCTGCAGGGAGAGGGTGCCATTTGCAAACTGGCTCAGGGCACTGGACTGGCCTCTGGGGCCTGTGTTCTGAAAGCATCCCAGCATGCTACCCTTGACCTGACGGGTGATCCTGCCTCCCCACAGGGTTTCTCACAAACCACAGGCTGGCATATGCCAACTCAGGTGTTAAATCACACCTGGAGTGGGGCGGAAGGGAGCACACAGGTCAAGCCTGGAGTGGGCCTAGTCTAAGCAGTGAGAGTGTGGAATGAGGCTGAATGCTTGGGGGCTGCAGAGCTGCAACTGCATGTCAGGAACCTTAGACCTGGTGGCCGCATGGGATGAGGGACTAAGGGAGTGACTGGAGGGACAGACGAGCTCACACTGGCCTTCACTAGTGACATTCCCCATGGCAACACACCAGACTCCCACCCCAGGCCTCCATGACATTCCCCTCTCCCATCCCGCTGGGCATTGCCCGTGTAGGAGAGGCCCGAGCCGTGCAATGCCTCCTGACTTCTTTATCAAAGGTTGATTTCTTCTTCCATTCATGGGCCATCCCTCGTCCCCCATCCTGTTCTTGTCTTTGTCTCCCACCCCGTGGGTTTGAAGTATTCAACTGTAGTCCCTGGTATGTAAATAGTGTACATAGAGCGAGAAGACAGCCTCTCGTTACGGAGATGTTTGAAATATGGAGCTGTAATAACTTCTAGGGATTCGAAACCTGTGATTTCTGTGCCGTTTCTGTATAGAATCGCGTCCGAATAAAATTGATGTATAAACAGCAGGGGAGGGACCCAGGAGGCCTCTGTGAGTGGGGACGGTGTGTGTACCTGTGTGTGTGGGGTGGTAATAGAAGGGAGTCCATACAATAATTTCTAGGATGAAATTCCCAGGCTCCTTTCGCAAAAGGCGAAGGCACGAGCGGCATACCTGTCCCCTGCCGGGGAGCCCCTCGGCTGCTGTCACTTCTCCCTATCACAGCTGGTGGCAGTCTCCTTTCTCCAGCTCTGCTGTTACCCACACAGCCCACCTCTGTCCCCAACAGTTGTCCCCTCCTCTGCAGGTAGTTACTTGAAAAGGAAAGAGAGCAGCTTCCCTTCCACCTACACAACCACCAAGAGAAAACATCACAGGATCTGCAACTGTGCGTCAGACCATGCCAAGTCCCTGACAAAGTGGGGGGGTGTGAACATGAGAAACAGCTCGCGGAAGGCAGCGGGAAATTGCCTGTGCATAGCTGTGACCCACCGACATGATGATGTGTGGGCTGGAATTACAAGATGAGAAAGTGTGGTGAGCAGCTTGTACTTGAGTTTGGGGCACAAGAACGCTAAGGTGGCTTCAAATGTGACCTCCCTTGTGAAAGAGGTGCTGGCAGCCCACGGTTGAGGGGGAGGACCAGGAGGTTGAGGTCTTGACTGTACACCTGAGCCAGGCATGGTGATCCCAGGTTTAGGCCTCAGGGACTCACCCTGGAGGTGCTGCTCCCTGTGGAGACAGGCCCAAGGGCCTGACATCAAGCCCATCACGTGAGGCTGCTATGGGTGCCCTCCCCTCCAAGTGTGCCAGCCTCACCCCACAGGACTTAACCTTGCCACCATCTCACGCTGTCCCTCCCTCCCGGCCTTCGCTGCCACCTCCTCCCTGCAGTCTTCCTGACCCCCTGGGAAAAGTTTAGGCCTCTGTTCTCCACAGCGCTAAGCAGATCTCCGTTACGGCAGTGTCTGCGCTGAGTTGTCATTTTTATTTATGAGGCAATTTTTTTCACAGTGTTGATTCCTTCCATAGTGGAAGCTCTAAGTGATTTGTCTTTTATCCCCTAGTCTCAGAATCCCAGCAGGGTGCAGGCAGCTTGGCAGAGTGGGTTAAGCTGATGCTTATGAATTCTGTAATCCCATATAGGCGCTGGTTCAAGTCCTGGCTGTTCCATTTCTGATCCAGCTCCCTGACAATACACCAGGGAAAGTGACGTAGGATGGTCTGAGTGCCTGAGCCCGTACCACCTACCTTGGAGATCTGGTGTTCTGGGTTCCTGGCTTTTTGCCTGGCCTAGACCTAGCTGTTGTCATCTGGGGAATGAAACAGCAGGTGGAAAATCTCGGTCTCCCCTCTCTTTGTCTCTCCTGCTCAAGGGGCGTGGCAGCCAGCCCACTGTTGAATGAATAAAAATGTTCTGCAATAGCTCCTTCATTTACTGGATAAGTTTTGTGGGGCAGGCTTAGCAGTGTAGACACCAGCTGGGACATCTGCATCCTGCGCTGGAGCACCTGGGCCTGGCCCTAGCCTCTGGCTCCAGCCTCCTGCCGGTGCCTACTCTGGGAGGCAGCAGGCAAAGCTTGCACAGCAGTCTCGTCACTCATGTGGGAGGCCCAGATGGACTTCCTGGCTCCTGACTTGGGCCTGGCCTAGCCTCAGCTATTGTGTTTGTCAAGTAAACCAGAGGCTGAAATCTCTCTTGCATGGATAAGCAAATATTTTAAAAGAACGGCTATTATCCCCTATCAGTATCAGTACTGAGTCCAGCTGCTCCACTTCCCATCCAGCTCACTGCTAAAGCACGTTGGAAAGCAGCGGAGGGTGGCCCAAATACTTGCCTGACACCCATGAGGCAGACCCAAAGGGAGTTCCAGTGCTCCTGCCTTAGCCTGGCCAGTTCCCACTGTTGTGATCATTTGGGGGAATAAGTCAGTAGATGGAAAATCTGTCTCTGTTACCCTTCAAATAAAACTTTTTAAAAGGTTTATTTAAAAGGTTTATCTATTGGATAGGTAGATACACAGGGAGGAGAGACAGAGAGGAAGATCTTTCATCCACTGGTTCACTCCCTAAGTGGCTGCAATGGCCAGAGCTGAACTGATCCGAAGTCAGGAGCCAGGAGCTTCTTCTGCGTCTCCCATGGAGGCACAGAGTCCCAAGCTTTGGGCCATCCCATATGGGCTCCCAGCATGTGCAAGGCGAGGACTTTAGCCACTAGGCTATCATGCCAGTTCATATCCTGGCTGCTCCACTTCCCATCCAGCTCCCTGCATGTGGCCTGGGAAAGCAGCAGAGGATGGCCCAAAGATGGGACATGCATCCTAAGCCCAAAGGAAGGATGGCTGTGCTGATGTGATTCCTTCAAGCCTGGGATCACCCTCGGTGGCGGTCCTATCCTCAGGCAGGTGTCTGGGGCCTAGGGGTCAACTCAGACTGTCAGGCAGTCTCTCCACCAGCAGGCAGCTGTGGGCAGAGGGAAATGCAAACAGAACTGTCTCAATCAATAAAGGGAGTAGGCCAACAGAGCAGACAAAGAGAAGCCCAATAGTGTCCCTTCTCCAGTCCCTGTCCTGAACCCCTTGGCCTCAGGCTCCACAGGCCCAACCAGCAATGAACAGAGCAGAAGAGACAAAGGTTGAGAGGGACCCATGAAACCCTGGGCAGGCTAGGAGCAGGAGGATGAGCTGGGGCCGAGTAATAGGTGTGGGGGTGCTGGATACTCCCAGCCTGTGGCAGGAATGACACCTGCTGCAGGAGAGACGGGTATGAGCTGGGGGGCTGCGGGACTGGGGATCAGCTCCCTGCTGGCCTTGCCTGCCACCTGCACCACACAGCTCCCCGAGCCTTCCCTCATTGTACAGCGGCAACATGCCAAGAGAGGGAACAGGGCAGGCTAACACCCTGTTCTATCTTGTGCTCCTGTAGTTCAAAACTGTAGTAAAAGCCCAACCCTCTGGGTAACTGAGCCTGTGCCAAGGGCCCTGCTGCCTCCTGCCCCGTCTGGGTCTCCTCCTCCGCCCCCTCTCAGGAAGCAATGGGGCCAGGGGCGCGGTGCTTAGACACAGGCGCCTGGCCGGGCAGTGATTCACTCCGTTAATTTCTCTCTGCAGATCAATCCCTCCTGACACTAACTTCATTGATTGTCAGCTGCCTCCCTCCCCAAGCCCTCATCTCCAATCTCTCTCCATTCCTCTTCCCTCCAGTGACACAGGCAAGCTGTGGACCTCAGGGAATCCTTGTCATAGGAAGGCTTCCTAAGGATCCAGCCAGTCAGCTACTCATCACCAACCCCATCCCCTATACTAATGAAGCCAGGAAGAGGTGATGATGGCAGTTCAGAGGTGAGAGCAGAGAGGAAAAGCTCACCTGTCTCTCTTCCCAAAGGCCTTAACCAGGGCTGGGAGGTTTGGGTTTTAGCCTGCTTGGAAGCAGATAAAGAAAAGACACAGCTAGCCTCAGCCAGCTAACAGTTCTGCACGGGGGTGACAATGGAACAGTGAAATGGTTGGACACATTCATGAACAAGAGGATCTGGGGCCATCCCACGGAAAACGGCATGGCAAACCATGTTATTTTGGTGCACATTGGACAAAGCGTTCAGTTCGGTAGTGACAGTCCCTGCTACTTCCTTCCCCATCAGCCAGGCCCCCAGCTCACTCTCCTCAGTTCTCATCCTCTTGTTTTCAGAACTAATCCTGTTCCTGGGGCATTTTGTTCTGCAAAGATTCAAAGGTCCCCAGCTCTCACAGGATAGGCCTGTACCCCAGCAGCCCTGCTGCACCTGTGAGGGGGAGAATCAACTGGGAGGAATGTGGGGAAGTGCTGCCTGTAGGGGAGGAGTTGTAGTACTGCACTAAGTGTCTCTGGTATCTGTGCTGCAGCTGCTGTGTTCACAGAGGTTTGATCACAAGTGAAGATGATGTCCACCACACAGATCTTCACTGCGCTAGTTTGTCCTGGAACACAAGTCCTGGAACACCAGTGCCTGATGGCCCGGAAGGGAGCGAGGCCTGGAGAACCAGCGAGCTTAGAGGCTGAGGGGTAGACCTGGGCAGGTGGGATAGAAGAGGTCACTGGAGAACACGCTTTGCTTTTGCCACAGGCAATGTAATTAATTCCTTGCCTCATGAGCTCCGTGGCCTCTGGGAGTTCTGGTTTGGAGAATGCAGGGCTGCAGTGGCGGAGGGGGCTCTGCTGTGTGTGCTGGTGTGCAATAGCCCCACCTGGGGTTCAACCTGCAGCGTCTCCCAGCTTATGGTCTGCATATCCACCACGTGGAGCACGTATGCTCTGGGAGCCAAGGACCTAAGCCCAGGAGGTTAGAATGGCACCCTTATACATACACACAAAAATCTGGGGTTCGGCAAATAACCAAGTGCCTTTAGTGAACAGAATGGTCACAACACCACTAACATCCCCAAGGAAGGGGCTGATGTTGCCTCCTCACATTTTTGTTGTTGTTATTTATCAGAGAAAGACACACACAGAGACACAACCATCTGCTGGTTAACTCCCCAAAGGTCTGTAAAAGCAGGGGCTGGACCAGGTGCAAGCCAGGGACCAAGACCACAATCCAGGTCTCCTCCGTGGGTGGCAGAGATTCAACTATGTGAGCCATCACCTGCTACCTCCCAAGGTGGGCATTAGTAAGACGCTGAAACCCAGCGTGGAGCCAGAACTCACACCAGTCCCTGACCCCGGCTGTGCGCATCCCAAGCAGCCTTTTAACTGTTACCCCACACACCTGCTCCCGACTGTGGCGCTGCTGACAGCCAACTTGCAATGTTTTGGCAGGCAACCAGCATCTACCTGCAACTTGATATCAATGTCTGGTTTTCTATTTATTTTGTAAAGATTTATTTATTTCTATTGGAAAGACAGATTTACACAGAGAAGGAGAACCAGAGTGAAAGATCTTCCATTCACTGGTTCACCCCCCAAGTGGCCGCAACGGCCAGAGCTGAGCCAATCCGAAGGCAGGAGCTTCATGAAGGTCTTCCAGGCAGGTACAGGGTCCCAAGGCTTTAGGCCACTCTCAAGTGCTTTTTCCTGGGCCACAGGCAGGGAGCTAGATGGGAAGTGGAGCATCTGGGACACAAACCGGCACCCACATGGGATTCTGGCAAGGTGAGGACTTTAGCCTCTAGGCCGTTGCATGAGCCCCACTATTTGGTTTCCAACATCTTCATCTTTATTGTGACTTTCTCTTTCATCAAATGCCAAATTTCTTTCTGAGAATGTACTGGGGACGGGGTAAGGAGGAGTTACAGCACAGCATGTTAAGATACCACAATTCCTTAGCATTGCTGGTTCAATCCCAGCTGTTCTACTTGGGATCCAGCTCTCTAATACTTGCCTGGGAAAGCAGCAGAGGATTAACCGGGCCCTGCACTCGCGTGGGAGACCCAGGATAACTTCTGAGTGTTTAGCTTCTGCCTGGCTCAGCTCTAGCCAGGGTGGGCATTTGGGGAGTTAAACACTGGGCAGAAAAATCTCTGTTTTTCTCCCTTTTAAATACAATGAAAATAAAATTACAAACAAAAATACACTTAGAATGTTACATGGCCTAGCGGTCAAGATGTCTGTGTCCCATACTGGAGATTCTGGTTTGAGTTGTGGCTCGGCTCCTGAATCCAGCTTCTTGTTATTGTAAATCTGGGAAGGAGAGGAAATGGCTCAAGTAGTGGGTCCTTAAACCACATGTAAGATCAAGATGGAATTCCAGGCTCCGAGCTTTGTCTGACTGTTGCAGATATCTAAGGAATGAACCAGAGGATAGAAGCTCTCTTTCTCTAGCTAATTTTAAATTTTAAATTAAAAATCTTAAATGCTTAAGAGAAAAAAAAAAAAAAAAGGCTTACGGGCTGGCACAATGGCTCAACTAGCAAATCCTCTGCTTGTAAGGGCCAGGATCCCATGTGGGCCTCAGTCCGTGTCCCAGCTGTTTCACTTCCCTTTCAGCTCTCTGCTAATGCTTGGGAAAGCAGCAGATGGCCCAAGCCCTTGGACCCCTGTACCAGCATGGGAGACCCAATACAGGCTTCTGGCTCCTGGCTTCAGGTTGCTCAACACCAGCTATTTGGGGGAGTGAACCAGCAGACAGAAGGCCTCTTCCTCTGACTCTTCCTCACTCTTTTATACAGAAATAAATCTTTCAGAAAAAATAATATTGGGGCCTGGCACAGTAGTCAAGTGGCTAAGGTCCTCTCCTTGCATGCGTCAGGATCCCATATGGGTGCTGGTTTGTATCCTGGCTGTTACGCTTCTCTTCCAGCTCCCTGCTTTGGCCTGGGCAAACAGTGGAGGATGGCCCAAAGCCTTGGGACCCTGCACCTGTATGGGAGACCCCAAAAAAGCTCCTGGCTCCTGATCAGCTCAGCTCCAGCCATTATGGCTACTTGGGGAGTGGGCCAGCAGATAGAAGATCTTTCTCTTTAGCTCTCCTCTCTACAAATCTGACTTTCCAAAATAAATAAATAAATCTTTAAAAAATACATTATGAAAAGCTTTATTTTTGTTGGAAAGGCATATTTATGGTGGGCAGGGAGGAGAGACAACGATCCTTCATCCACTGCTTCACTCTCCAAATGGCCAGAGCTGAGCCGATTGGGAGCCAGGAGCCAGGAGCTTCTTCCAGGTCTCCCACGTGGGTGCAGACTCCCAAGGCTTTGGGCCACCATCTACTACTTTCCTAGGCCACAACCAAGGAGCTGGATGGGAAATGGAGTAGCTGGGACACGAACTGGCAAACACACAGGATCCTGGAGCTTGCAAGGTGAAGATTTAGCCATTGAGCCATCCTGCCAGTCCAGCTTTGTTGTTTATAAGAAGTACAGATAGTAATTTAGGGAACACTGTTCTAGAGGTCAATAACTTTACCCTCACCAGCTGGGCATTCTGGGTTTTATCTGGTTATTGTTTTTCCATAAAGTGGGTTCTTTGTGAGAACTCCTAATTTGACCTGGAGCTGATAAGAGAAAGATTTGTTTTTCATTTGGATTAAGATAAGGAAGAGGGCCCTTGAGGTCCTCCTGGCTGGTACTAACTTCACTGCCAGAAAGTAAAAGGTGGAGTAAAAAGCCCCAGGCATAAGACGAGCATGCATTCCTGCCTCCAGGCTCAGCTCAGGGAAAGCTGTTCACACCACCCTTCCAATACAAAGTCCGGGAAAAGAGCTCCCAAAATATTCCTTTACTTTTGAGCCATTTATTTTTTTAAAAAGTTATAACATTTACATGGTCAGTTGATTGCAGTTAAAAATCTACTATCATAAAATTGAGCTGGATCTCTGGACTCCAGGGCTGACTCTCTTTCCTCCCTAACCCTTCATTTCTCAGCGATCTCACCCATCCCAATTTTCCCCCAGTACATACGATCCGAAGCAATTTGTAGCACTTCAAGCGTAACCCAGGCCCTGGCCCATGGGGGGGGGCCGGCACAGGGTTGGGACCACCACTACCAGGGCACCTGAGGCACACCTGGGCTCTGCTGGGCCCCGTCAGCGGTCACACTTGCTCCAGGTGCTGCAGACCGCCCTCCCCAGGGGCCTGGCGGTTCTGCTGGTGGCCATTCACATGTTCAATCTCACTCCCCCTTAAGTCTGCTCAGCTCCCATCTTCCTTCTCCACAGAGTTTCAGAACCAAAGAGTGAAACTGCAAGAGATGATGACTGTGGGTTAGGGTGTCCCTATCAAGAAAGCAGGTGGCTGTGCCGTCCACTCAAGCCACGCTCAAAGGCACGGTACCTTCTCTAGGCTGCGCCGATGCCCCACACTGATGAAGGTCATGCCCAGCTGCTGGCCAATGCGGTACAGCTCAGCCTCCACCTCCTCGGTCAGTGCGCTGGTGGCTTCATCAAGCACTGTGGGCAGGTGGGCGCTAGTGGTGGGAGGTGTGTGGGAACTTGGAGCCCCACCCAGCCAGCTCTGTGGTGCTAGCCCACACTCAGCCCCAGGTGGCACAGGGCAGGCATAGGCAGAAGCTTGCCCTGGCTTACAGGAGCTGGGCCCCGGGGAGAAGATGGGCCACAGGAACAGAGGGCTGGGCTGTTAAGAGGAATCCATCTTCGTGTGCCGACAAAATCCCTCACCTGCCTAAGGACAGGCCCCAGCCTGCCTGGCCCAAGGACGGCAGAGCTGAGGAGCCTCTATCTCAGCGCCCAGGGAGCTTGGCTTTTGGGTCCCCAACGGCTAAAAGAGCAGAACGTGCCAGTCACCTAGGGCTGTTCCAGCCAGGGGATATGGAGATGCCCAGGCAGGCACAGGTGTGCACAGGAGTCCCGGCATGGGCAGCTGTGAGGTGCAGCTCACCTGCATACTTGGGCTGCAGGTAGAAAAGCCGGGTGAAGGACAGCCTCTGCATCTCCCCTGGGGACAGGACGTCGTACCTGAGGACGGGAAGAGGGAGGTGACTGGGAGAGAGGACACAGCTGGCCTTAGGCTAGATTGGGTCTTGGCAAGACCTTGTCTATGTGAAGAGTAGGGCCAGACACATCCCTGCTGCCCCCTCCAGGTGAGGCCAAGGCTCTGGTTCCTGTGAGGCACGACACTTGCACCTGATGGAGTGCTCACATACCCAGGAGGAGGGGTTGGGAGTAGTCGTCTATTCCTGGCCAGGAGCCAGCCAGGGGGGAGGTGGCTCTGGCATGTCCCCTACTGTGTTCTTACCAGTTCCAATCCACCTGCTGGTCGAGACCCTCTGTCCTGGTCACCAAGCTGGACTGTAACAGACCCGATGGCAGTGTCCATGACAGGGCCCAGTCCTGCCTCCTGCCCTCTGGGAAATCCTCCCTCACTCTACACACAAACACTCTCCTGAGATAAGCACTAAGGCGGGGGCTGAGAGAGGAGGCACACATGCTACCCAACCAATCACACTGTGTGACGCGTGGAGCAGAGTGACAGTCCATCCATAGCGACTTTAAAATCTCCACATCCCATCACCACCTGTAGCCATCCCACCACAGCCCACCTCTGCTGGGCGGCATTCTATGTGGTCCTGCCTCCACCTACCAGGCCCGCCAAGTCCAAAAACCTCATGATCCTCTCATCGTCAGTAGAACCTGCAAAACAAGATGGCTTCTTCAGCAGGCTGGCTTCCTCTGGCCAGTAGACGGGGCCCAGAGTGGCAGGGACAGGAGTCCTAGAGTGCTGGGCTGAGGCTCCAAGTGGCAAGTGAATCCCCCAGTTCTAGGAAAGGAAGAACCAAGTCCCGGGAAGAATCACTGTTCCACCTTGGCGCGGAGAAGACAGGCCAAGATGAGATTGCGCACAGACCCCAGTACAGGGTCAATAGCTGAAGGAGGCAGTGTGGTGGGGCTGTGGCCCAAGGGACAGAGCAGGGATAAGCAACATGTAGGATGCTCTCCAAGGAGAGACAGCTAACCTGAGTCTGGGTAGATCTCCTTTAGGGGGTAAATCACCTGAAAACAAACACAGCAGCCTGAGGCAGGGGCAAGGGATGAGGGGACACAGCTGCCCTGCTTGGCCTCCCTGGAAATCCCTGCCAGGAGCCAGGGAGGCAGAGGGAAAGGTCTGGCCCACAGCCAGAGGTGAACAGGGTCCACCGTGCAGCCCTGCCCTGAGCCTGTGGGCCTCCTGTAAACAGGGCCTCGATGCTCCCATAGGCGCCATGTGGCCTACAGCCCACCCCCTTCATCCGACCCAGGAGCAGCTAGTTCCCATTATGGGCTGCTGTCCCGGGCTGAGGCCTGTCCCTCTGCCAGGTGTGGGTGTGGGGCTGGCAGGGGTGTGGGGTTGGCAGGGGCGTGGGTACGGCTGGCTGACCTGCTCACGGAGGGTCCCGTCAGTGAAGAAGGGTTTCTGTGGCAGGAACAGCACCCCATGGGGCCCGAAGTCTGTGAGCATCTGTACAGAGCCTGCGGACGCCCACAGATCTCCAGGGGCTGCCCTCCTGGGACCCGCCCTCACTCCACCCTTCATGCCTATCAGCAGGGAGGCCCAGCCTACCCCGTGTGCTGGTCCACAGGCCGCCCAGCACCCGCAGCAGGGAGGTCTTGCCCGTGCCCGTGTTGCCTGTGATGAGCAGGCTCTGGCCCTCGCAGACCTTCAAGCTCAGGTCCTTGATGAGTGGCTTGTCCGAGGAGGGGGCTGAGATGCAGGCCCGGTCCAGGAGGAAGGCTGCGTCAGCGGGCTCTGCTGCTGGCCACCCTGGGACCCTGCAGTCAGAGAAGGCCATGGGGAGGTGGGACTTTTCCTCCTAGGAGGCGTCACCTCCAGCCTGGGCTCAGAACAGCACCATCAGGAAGCAACCACTTTAAAGGGTGGGGCTGGTCAAAATTGGGTGAGACTCTCAGGAGTCAAAAGGAGACTGGGGGAGGATAGGAAGGGAGGCACACAAGAAAAGGCTACAGGGCCCGGTGTGATAGCCTAGCAGCTCAAGTCCTCGCCTTATACATGCTGGGATTCCATAAGGGCACTGGTTCTAATCCCGGCAGCCCCGCTTTCCATCCTGCTCCTTGCTTGGTGGCTGGGAAAGCAGTCAAGGACGGCCCAAAGCCTTGGGACCCTGCACCTGCGTAGGAGACCCAGAAGAAGTTCCTGGCTCCTGGCTTTGGACTGGCACAGCTCTGGCCTTTGCGGTCGCTTGCAGAGTAAATCAACGGACGGACGATCTTCCTCTCTGTCTCTCTTCCTCTTTGTATTATTGACTTTTCAATGAAAATAAATAAATCTTTAAAAAAAAACAAAGCAAAACAAAAGGCTACAGCAGTGAGAGGACCAGAGCCAATACCTTGATCTTACATTGCAGCCTCCACAACTGTAAGAAAACACATTTTCTACCTGCCTGTGGCATTTCACGCAGGCAATATGGAGGTGAAGTGGGGTACCCACTCTGTGCCCAGCTGAGCAAAGCTCTACAAGCAAATGAACTTGCGCAGCCTCAAGGCCCTAGAATTTCAGCTGTTACTCCACCTGGCTATGCCCCCTGCCCAGGGTGGCAGTGTTGAGTCTGTGTAATGCTAACGGTGCTATGCCAAACCCCCTGTGGTTACTGGTCTCCAAGAACAACACCCTCAGCCTTGGGACTCACAGGTGCACAAAACTCAGAACGGGGGCAACACCAGCTGCTTAATTTTCTTAGAAGACAGAATTGGCCACAGGGTCTGGAATTCAGACAATTTCCTTCTTAAAAAAAAGCAGGTTTTGGTGAATTTAAATGAAAAACTCTTCTTGCTGTTATTGATTTAATTTGAAAAGCAGAGACAGAGACCTCCTATGCACTGGGTTCATGCCCTCAAATGCCACAACAGCTGGGGCCAGACAAGATGGAAACCAGAGCCTGAAACTCAGCCTGGGTCTCCCATGTGGATAGCAGTGATCCAACTGCCTGAGCTATCACTGATGCCTCCCCGAGAAAGCACGAGCAGAATCTGTGATCTGAGGGTGAGCTTGGACAGGCACCCAGGCACGCTGACATGGGATGCGTGGTGTTTAAATGCTATGCCCAACCTCAGCACGCTTGCTGCAAGAGCACTTTCCTTGGACAATAACCTCCGAGTCTCACAACCACTCCAGGAGGAAGGTTCCAGATTAGAACAGGAAGTCATGTGCCCAGGAAAAGGGAGTTGCTGAAAGAGATCTGGGATGCACAGCATGGTTGGAGGCATTACAGATCTGAGAAGATGCAGGAATACAGGCATCTCCAAGACTCTGTGAGCTGCAGCAGAGGTAAGGCTTGGAGTGAGGAGGAGGGAGGGAGTGCTGTTCAGATTTTTCTTTCACTCTCTCGGGCCAGCAGGTGCACAGGCCAGCAGGTGCATGCATGTGGCCCCCATCAGTGGAGGTAACAATGTGAACATGCAGAAAGCTCAATGGCCACAGTGAGGTGTGCACCTCTGCTGTGTCTGGCAGAGTCGGCAGCCTCCACATGGATCCTTCACCACTCGGCTCCCCTTCCGCCCAGGCCAGTGCAGGGCACCAGCAGCAGAGCCTGCCCTCTCCGCTCCTGCCCTCCATCCCAGCCCAGTACTCACTTGTCTAAGTCCCACTCACTGTTGCCCAAAGTATCACAGTCCTGCGATTTGGAGGACATGTCCAGCAGGGTCTCCTGAAGTTCCCCAATCCTGGACAGGAAGTGACACCTGAGCTGGGGCTTGTGGGGGGGGTAGGCAGTTGAAGGCAGAACTTTCCATCTCGCACAGGTTTAGAACAGGTTGAGGTTTTCTTTTCAACCTCCTATTCAGCCCCTCCTTCTGCACATGCTTTGCTGAGGAGGCGGGAGGCAGGGTACAGCCTCACCTGTGTGTGTACCCAGCCACGTCAGAGAGCGTGGTGGACAGGTCGATGAGCCGGGTGAAGCAGCTGATGAGGTAGATGCACACGAAGGCGTTCTAGTGGGAAGGAGAGCGGCAGGTGCAGCCCTGGCCAGAGAGTGAAGGGCCAGCCTCAGGGGGTCCCTGCGAGGGGTCCTCACCTTGCTGACCAGCGCACTGAGCTCTGTTGGGGTCAAGTCTCCGAAGACCCCACTGAAGATGGGGATTGCAATGACCACATAACTCAAGATGCTGCCCAGGTAGTCGAAGGTGTTGACACCAACTGCAGAGGACAGACCGGGTCAGAGGGTGAGGGGATGCGGCCTGTGGAAGCCAGCCTGGCCTCGCTCTCCAGCACCCACATGGAAGGTGATTAAGGAGGTTGCTACCCTGGATCGTGTGCCAGTGTGCAGGGAAGGTGGGGGTTGGTGAAGGGAAGTGGCCTACACTGGCTCAGGGCCCCCTCTTCCGGGTTCTTCCACCCCCACCCTGCCTACTGTATAGCCAGAGCTCCTTGGCCATCAGCTCCCTCTGGGTCTGCAGCAGCCTCTGCAACCGGCGGTCGGTCCTCATGTGCTCCACCTGTCCAGCTCTGGCAAGAAAGGCAGAGATGGCCACCGGACCTGGGGTGGTAAGGTCAGGCTTGGGCGGGGAGGAGGGGCTGCACCCTCACCATGTCCTCCTTAGGGACCCAGCCCATCCAGGTGACCTTAGCCTCAGGCCACTCTTGCCACTGGGGTGCTGCAGCCTTTCCTTATGGCCATATATGCAAACCACGTGAACAGTTGGCCAGGCCTGGTTCAAATTCAAATCCTGGCTCCATTCAGCTACTAACTGGGCAACATTGTAGTCGACTCAAACCTGAGCCTCAATTTTCCCATCTGCAAAACAGAGCTAACAGTGCCTCTCTAACAGGTCAGATTAAGAATTTAGTTTCCAGGTAGGAGCGTGTCATGACACAGTGAGTTAAATCAGGGACACCTGCACCCCATCACCAGAGTGTGTTTCTAGTTCCCATTGCACTAGGTTTCCGAGCCAGCTTCCTGCCAACACACCTTGCAGGCAGCTGTGATGGCCCCAGGACTTGGTTTCCTGCCATCCACATGGGAGATGCTAATGGAGTTCAGGGATCCTGGCTTCTGTCTGGCCCAGCCCTGCTGCTGTGGGCATTTGGGAAGTCCACAAGGTGAAGACTCACCTGTTCCAATTGCGTTTCCAAAGAAATCTCTAATTAAAAAGTTTCCAAATATAAAGTGACCGGGTATTAGAGCTGCTATTCACTAAACATAACACTCAGGGGCTGGTATTCTGGCACAACAAGTTAAGCCCATGCCTGAGGCACTGGCATCCCAAAAAGGCACAAGTTGGGAATCTCAGCAGCTGTACTTCCAATCCAGCTCCCTGCTAATGCATCTGGGAAAGCAGCAGAAGATGGCAAGTGCTTGGGCCTTGCACTCATGTGGGAGAAACAGATAAAGCTTCTGGCTTCTCGCTTTGGCCTGGTGCAGTCCTGGCTGCTAGGGTCATCTGAGGAATAAACCAGTGGATAGAAGATCTCTGTTTTCTGTTTGTTTGGTTTTGTCTTTAAGGTTTATTTTATTTGAAAAGCAGTTACAAGAGAGAAGGAGAAACAGAGAGATCTCCCATTTGCTGGTCTACTGGCCAGATGGCTACAACAGCCAGAGCTAAGCTGATCCAAAGCCAGGAGCCAGGAACTTCTTAAGGATTTCCCACGGGGGTGTGGAGTCCTAAGGCTTTAGGCCATCCTCTGTTGCCCTCCAAGGCCATAAGCAAGGAGCTGGATGGGAAGTGGAATAGCTGGGACACAACCACCATCCATATGGGAGGTTTTGCCTATTATACCACAGCACTGCAACCACTCGGGCCGGGCCGTGTATGTTGGTTAGTGTGATAAAGAGGCAGGTACGAGGGCCCTGTCCGCTGAGCGTCTTTGGAGCGCTCAGCCCAAAGAGCACCTGGACAGCACACATAAATGTGGAAGGCAGGCTTGGCCTCTGCGAGGTGCCCAAGAGAGGCCTTGTGGCTCCAAGGATGGACAAAAATTCTGCAGGCAGGAAAGGTGAAGGGAACGGGACAGGTTGTGGCATGCTTCTTTCCTTCTGCATCATCTGACTGTACAGCAAGGCCACAGAAGCCAGCAGACGCTGCAGGAATGAGTCAGCCTGCCCTGAGGCCGCAGCAGCCCTGCCCAGCACAGACCCTAGCAGGCCGATTCCTGGGACTCCTGCTGCACCCAGGGTGCTGGCTGCAGGCTGCAGCGAACATGGAGAACAGGCAAAGCACTCAGGGTTATGAGATCCATCCCACAGTGCCAGGGATCCTAGAAGTAGCTTCCATTTCATAACACTAACCCCTGGCACCTGCGCTGTTGGTGCAGACGCCAAGGAGACTCCACAGGGGAAGCAGGGATTTCATGGCACTGTCACCTGTCTTTTTGGATAGCACAAATAGCTGGCCTCCTAACCCTGGCCTGGGCGGGGAAGTCACTCTGCAGGATCACAGGCAGAAGAGATGCCTCGCAGGCATCAGCACAGACCACAAAGCTCACATTTCATTGTGAATTCTGACTGTGTGTGAGCCCACCCACCACAGCTGACCCCTCTAAAGCCCCTGTGATACCAGGTCCCGAGGCAAACCCCTGGTCCTAAGGAGAGCAGACCAGGGACAGCCAAATGTGGTAAGCTCAACTCTGATGCGGGAGGACGGTAGTTTCCAACCACACTCACCGGTAGAAAGCAGCAGCCTCAGCATTCACCCGAATCTGCATGTGTTTGAACCTGGGAAAACAGAAGGAAAGAGGTACCGGCAATGAGAAGTCCTGACTCCTCCACGTCGCAGCCCTGAGTCTAGAAGACGCCCCTGCTCCTGCCAGACCAATGCTCCAAACTTTGGCATGGGGGGCAGGCTGTTGAGACGTCTGCAATGGGCATCAGAGCACCTGGGTTTAACACTCATCTTGTGCTAATGCAGACCCAGGCGGGCAGCGTGGTGGCTCACTTGAGACACCTGTACCGTGTCCAGTCCCTGGTTTTGCTCTTCCCACCCCCTACCACTACAAGATTTGGACAGTGAATCAGTAGATGGCAGCTCTTTCAAATACAAATAAATACATTTAAAATCTGAACTATGGGGCCTAGCATGATAGCCTGGTGGCTAAATTCCTCCCCTTGAACGTGCTGGGATCCCACATGGGCACCGGTTCTAATCCTGGCAGCCCCACTTCCCATCCAGCTCCTTGCTTGTGGCCTGGGAAAGCAGTGGAGGACGGCCCTAAGCCTTGGGACCCTGCACCCACGTGGGAGACCCGGTGGAGGCTCCAGTCTCCTGGCTTCAGATCGGCGTAGCTCTCGCCATTGCCGCCACTTGGGGAGTGTCTCTTCTCTCTCTGTAAATCTGACTTTCCAATAAAAATAAATAAATCTTAAAAAAAAAAAAAAGCTATCAAATAGTATCTAGCTGCCCTAGCCCACCCTTTCTTAGAACTGACAGAGATGAGAAATACAGGGGTCTTCTGGGGAGAGCAGGGCTACCCCTAGACTTTCTGCCCTGGTGGGTCAAAACACACAGTAGAGCTGGCTGGTTGGACATAGGTCAAGGGGTCAAGCCCAAGATCTCACTCAGGCTGTCCTCGTCCACAGCCCATTCCCAACTACTACACCCCACCAATAGCTCGGGGTGAGGGACACGCACCGGAAATCCCCCTCCAGCTTCTCTTGCTGCACCAGCTTCGTCACAATAGGCCCCATCAGTGTTTTGTTCACCATGGTTCCCAGGATGAAATAGCCGAAGATGCTCACGGGCCCAAGCCACCCTGTGCTGCAAGGCACACGGGGAAGGAGGATGAGCAAGGGTGAGGGGTGTCTCGTACCCCCACAGGCCTCAGCCTTGGCTCTTGCTGTCCATCTTGTCCAGTGCCAGTAGCCCCGGCTGCTCCTATATGGGGATACCTGACCCTGTCATGGTACCAGGATGCTGAAGTAGCAGAGGGCAAAAGAGAGAGATGGGGCCTGAGCACCATGCAGTCCCTGGGGAGTGAGTGGGAGGGTGGGGTACGGGGTGGGGAGGGAAACATCACTTTTGGACCTTGACCTGGGAGAGCCAAAGCCCGCCCCAGGCGACCTTCACAGGAGAGGGGTGGCTTCACCTCCGGAAGCACTGGTAGGTGTAGTAGATGAGTGTGAAGGGGGAGATGATGAGCTGGCTGGCCATGCTGCTGAGCTGCCGGCAGAATCGCTCCACATCCTGGCTGATGCGCTGGTCCCTGCAGCGATGACACAAGCACTGGAGCCTTGGAGCCAAGCCTGAGGATTCCAGGGGACGACAGTCCCACCTAACTGCTTCTCCTGACCTCGCCGTTCAGCACTGGTGGCAGGCGCCCAGCTGGTGGGGGGAATGACCCAGGGTTGCTGGGTTTCCTGGAGGCAGCCACACCCACAGGGTCTTAACCAGGGTTCCCAACGCTGGCTTCCTACTGTACTTCAGTTTACTCCTCAGAAAACGTGGGACTGGAAAGGTCCAACACCCAGGGGCTTGTACCAGCTCTGAGCAAAACCAGAGAACTTGCAGGAGGGTGAGCTGCCCTTCCTGGAAGAACAGAAGACAGCCCCTTCCTTCTTAACTCCCCCTGTTTTCTCCGATTTGAGCCTGAGTCTGCTCTACTCTAGCTGAGCAGCTGGGAAAGGTTTATGTGGGTGGGGCCGTCAGGCAGCAGCCACATACCCAGGGTCCTGGCTGCAAAGCCAGTCTGAAAGAGGACAGGCCACCCCAAGATCCCATCTCATGACCAGGGCATTATAGACTTTCACTCCTCATAAAGGATGCTCAGTGATCTTGGGCAAGTTACCTACAATCTCTGGGCCTCAGTTTCCTCACCTGTAACTCCTATGGGAGTGCCTGTTATGCAACAAGGACTGAGCTCAGTACCACCTGAATGACAACATGGCAGTCTCTGCCCCAGGAGCCACTGTCACTTCCTTGACACAGGAGAAGGACCTGGAACTCAGTGATGTAGGAGCTGGAAGGTGCTAGAATCTGAATCCCAGACTCAGTCCTCAACTGTGGTCGTTCTGTTTTCTGTCAAAATGCTAAGAGCTGAGAATGGCGCTGACTAGGTTAAGCCATGGCCTGTAGTGCTGATATTGCATCTGGGCACCAATTCAAGTCCCAGGTGCTCCACTTTTAATCCAGGTTCCTGCTAATGTGTCTGGGAAAGCAGCAGAGGATAGCTCAAGTGCTTGGAACCCTGCACCTGTGTGGGAGATCCGGAAGAAGCTCCTGGCTACAGCCTGGCCCAGCACCAGTCATTGCAGCCATTTTAGTAAGTGAATCAACAGATAGAAACTTGCCACCTCTCTTACTCTGTCTCTCCTCTCTAATTCTGCCTTTCAAAAAAATAAAAATAAAACAAAAACAAAAAATAAGGGCTGGTTTTCTAGCAAGGCCACTGTCTTCAGAGGGGGCCTATTGGCAGCCCAGAGTATAAACTGAATGAAGGGACTGCTTCTGGCCTCGTCCTTTTAGCTTCTGTTCTCAGCCCGGCAGCATCTCTGGGAGTGTCCCCTCCCGCCCCGGTCCAGCCTCCAGGCTGCCACATCTCTAAGTGACCACTGCAGATCCTCTCTGTGGGGCCTGTTCCCCAGGCCTATGCCAGGGGGACAGGACCCGCGGAGGGGCATGGGCACAGAGGGCGCCTACGGGTTATCGATGTCGTCCCGCAGCACGTTCAGGGTGTAGTACACGCGGCCCTGGAAGTAGAGGCGGTGCAGGTGCTCGGTGAGGTCCCTCCTCCAGCTCACATACAGCAGGTTGCAGGTGAACTGGTCAAGGCTCTTCAGCTGCGCAGTGGGGGGAGGCAAGGGAGAGGGAGGGAGGGAGGCAGAGCTGGCTTCCTGCAAGGCCCAGTTCAAAGCTCAGCACTGGCAGGAAGCCTCGGCTGACCTGGCTCTGTGCTCACTCAGCACTTCTCTTGTTTACAGCCAGAGGATTCTGCCTTCCTCATTCACCCGCCTGTTCACTCCCTTGGCGAAGCTGGAGGGGTCAACCAATGCAAGGCCTGGTGCTCCGGTCTACAGGGGCCACACTGACCATCCCACTCCTGTCCTGGCTCTCCCATACTGGCAGTGAGGTTCAAGGCACAGTAAGAGCTTGCAGGAAAGCGGCCACAGCAGGAAGAGAAGCACTATTCCTAAGAAAGTGGCTGCACAGCCCGACAGAGAGCTGCAGGTGCAGCCTTCCTTTGCTATCTGCGAGGCATGTGCAAGCACGGAGCACGGGGAAACCCACACATTCCATCTGGCAAACAGACAAGTGCAAGGGCATGGGAAGCGTGGCCTGCAGAGGAAATCTCAAGAACGTGGCCAAGCACAGAGAGAGGGCAGCGCTTGGTGGAGGAAACTCAAAGCTCATCACCAAGGACTCAAAAGCAGTGCCAATGGAGAGCCACTCAGAAATGAGCAGGGAGCTAGCACTGAACACTGCGGGTTAAACTGCCACCATTGATGCCAGCATCCCATCTGAGCACTGGTTCTAATCTCAGCTGCTCCACTTCCAATTCAGCTCCCTGCTAATGCACCTGGGGAAGCAGCAGAGGATGGCCCAAGTCCTGGGGTCCCTGCTACCCACCTGGGAGGCCCCCAGATGGAGTTCCTGCCTCCTTGGTCTGGCCCAGCACCAGGTCACTGTGACCATTTAGGGAATGAATCAGTGGATGAGAGATCTGTGCATCTGTGTGTGTGTCTCCCCATCCCTAACACTACCTTTCAAATCAATAAATCAATATCTTAATAAAAAGAAAATGAGCAGGCTTCAGCCAACTGAACAAGGAATGGGAGAAGGCAGCCATTCGCAAGAAGGCAGCAGGTGGAAGATGAGTGGGAGGCCGTGTCAGGCAGTCTGACCCCAGCCCCGGGAGCCAAAAGTGCGCCTGTGGTTGCAGGTCACAGTTAGCCAGTGTTCTGAGCTTCCTAATGCAAGCGTTCTGGGAACGAAACAGATAATCGTGCCCACTAAATCCCTGTGGCCTAGACCTGGGAGTGCAACGCCAGAGAAAACAGTCCCATGTGTGCAAAGAGCAAGAACAATGCCCTGCTCAGTTCCAACCCTGCCTCCCCGCCCCAGGGCCACTACCAGCCCTCCCGTTCCCAGAAGAGGAAGGGAGACAGGCAGCCTGCTGACACTAGATGGGGAGGGGAGGGCAGAGGCGGGGAGAGTCCTTACCGTGGAGTTGACCACGATGAGCACCACGGCCAGGAACGTCAGGGCCTTGAACCCATCCAGGTCTTTGTTTCCCAGGACCCCATAGTACTGACTGGGGATCAGGCCCACCCGGTAGATCACCAGTTGTTCTAGGGCAAGGGAGGGCAGTCAGATGGCGGTGGGGGAGGGGGGGGTAAGAAAGCGGAGGCCTCCCCTTGCACACCTGCTTCACTGACACCCCAGGGAGAAGGAGAGGGATTCAAAACTGGGGCGCCGCTCCTTCCCTCACCCAGAGCTCTCACTCACTCACCCAGGAGAGCCACCATGAGGAGGGTGACGAACATCAAGACGTTCTGTGACGACCACGAGGGAAACAGAACCTCCTGGATCTTCAGGAATCGCTGGAGGAACCTCAGGTCTAATCTGGGCCTGTGTAAAAGGCCACAGGGAAGCAGAGGGAAGTCCCGAAGGGAATGTGCGCCTTAGGGAGCAGCTAGCAGGCCAGACGGTGCTGCCACAAGACGCCTGGCCAGGCCGGCTGAGGATGGCAGGGGCAGAAAGCTAACCACGAAACCTAGCGCCCTGGCTAGAAGGAAAAGCAGAGAGAGAAACCTTAATGAGGACACCCAAGTGATACTGGGGTGAAAAAACCCACAAACTCTAAAGGGGGGGACACCGATGAAGTGCTTCCATTCTGCACAGTGTCTTTGAGTTGGAGAAGGTGATCTGTAAAGTGTGAAAGCAAGAACAACAAAAATTCATGGTATGTCACACATTCCTCAACCCAGCAGGAAGCCAGGAAATCCACAGGGTACAGAGGCAGCTCACAAAAAGGGGGCAGGAGGAGCCCCCACCGCCAAACGTCTAACACACACGGCAAAGTGAGCAGTGGGGGAGACCACCTCAGATCCCCGAGATGGACAAACATTCCCCAAGTCAGACAAGACCTATAAGGCCAGGTGGAGGGACGGGAAGAAACAGGCAACTAGAACCTTCTCTTGGGGAAGTATCGATGAGGTGACCACTCCAGGTGGCGACACATGCCAGTACATTCCTGTGTGGTCCCCATGGTGGCTGAAACACTGGGGACAATCCGCGCTTATCACCCCAGCACACGGAGAGTGAGAAGGGGTCTAGCACGCGGTATTGCGACGTGACAGCCAGTGCGCTATAAGGGTCGTCCACCTCCAAACCCCACTTGGAGCGAATACGGCGCATGAAAAGACCGAGAACGCTACTGCGAGGAGGAGCCCAAGAGCAGGGACGCAGCGGCAGACACAAGTCCCCGCCACGGCAGCAAGTGGTAGCCATAACCTCGGTCCCGAACCGAGGGTGGGTGCACTTCACGGTCATCCGGACCCCGGCCCGGAAGGTTCGGGGGGCTGGGGCCTGGGGGACTCGGGGGGCCTGGGAGGCTCGGGGGGCCGGGGATGCTCGGGGAGCTCGGGGCCCTGGCGGCTCGCCTCTCAGCTGCCCTGCTCACCTGGCGCCTACCCTGGGAGCGGACCGGGGGGCCGCCATGACCCCGACTGCTGCAGCCGAGAGAGAAGCCGCCGCCCCGGTTCGGGTCCGGGCAGAGTCCGAGCGGCTCGCGTTCCGCCGGGGAAAGGCGGGACTCCAGCGACCACAGAGACGGCGGCGGCTAGAGAGGAGCGCTGCTCGAAGCCAACCTCAAAGGGCCGCGCCTGCGGCGAGAGCGCCCCCTTCTGGACTTGGGAGGTTTCCGCTTGGACGACGGGTAGGGGGTCACGCTAATCTATTAACGCAACTCTTCCAGGATTTGAATATAATAGATGTTTTATACATTCTCACATAGAAGCCAGCGCGATCTTAAAAAAAAGTTCAGGCTTCCGGTTGCAGTTGGAATAAAATCATAAGATCCTTTTGCTTTCTAGCTGGATTTTAAGATTATTTGAAAGGCTGAGTGACAAGGGAGAGAGGGTGGGCTCTGGTTTAGCATCCTAATGCTTGCTGTTTGCTGGGCTTTCTATTCCTTAAGTGGCTTCTGTTTCATCCTCACAGTCCTTGCAGTGGTGAGAAAAGCCCAGCGCTTTCTCATCGTTAGTAGAAATGTTCACTCTACTTAGAACGTGTGTTCCTATCCCGTCATTCTCTCTTCCCTTTTATATTAACGCTTGTTTCACGATATAAAATTCTCTTGTTTCCTGACTTATTTTGTGTCTTCTCCCATAAAAATTAACTTTATCGGGGCTGAGGACAATAGCTAGTGGCTAAATTCTTGCCTTGCATCCTCCAGGATCCCATATGGGCAATGGTTCATGTTCTGGATTCCCATCCAGCTCCCTGCTAGTGGCCTGGGAAAACAGAGGACGATCCAAACCCTTGGGACCCTGCGCTCACACATGGGAGACCTGGAGGAAGCTCATGGCTCCTGGCTTCAGATCAGCTTAGCTCCGGCCCTTGCGGTCACTTGGGAGTGAACCAGTGGATGGAAGATCTTTTTCTTTTTCTCTGTAAATCTGCCTTTCCACAATAAAACACACACAAAAATTTTTTAAATTAGGGCCCAGGGCAGTAACCTAATGGCTAAAGTCCTCGCCTTGCATGCAGTGGGATCTCTTACAGGTGCCAGTTTTAATCCTGGCAGCCCCGCTTCCCTTCCAGCTCCCTCTTTGTGGCCTGGGAAAGCAGTTGAGGATGGCCCAAAGCCTTGGGACTCTGCACCTGCATGGGAGACTCTGAAGAGGTTCCTGGCTCTTGGCTTTGAATTGGCGCAGCTCAGACCATTGTGACTGCTTGGGGAGTGAATCAGTGGATGGAAGATCTTCCTCTCTCTCCTCCTCTCTGTATTTCTGACTTTCCAATACAAATAATTAAAAAAAATTTTTTTAAGCCTCTGTTTTCACAAATCTTAAGTGGATACTTACAATAAACCATAAGATGATATGAAATAGAGGTCAGTTAGCAAGAAGTCACAGGCTGAGTCAGCTGGGTCCCAAGACTGAGACATGTAACATGCACGAAGCTCATAGCAAATACTCCTGGGACCACATCTGTGGAAAGAAGGGAAAGCAAGCAGCCAGGGCAGAGGGCAAAGTTGAGGCACAGGCCGCCGTGACGCCCTTTGGGGAGTGCCAGAGCAGAATGGCTTGCCCCTGTCGGATCCAATCAGCCGTCTTCCCCAGCGTACCCCAACCCGTGTCTTTGGATATAGGTTGCCCACAGAAGGTCACTGTCTTGGGCAGGTCCACTCTGTAACTGGGCCAGCCCTGTCTGCTGGTTCCCCTCCCAGCAATGGGAGCAGGACTGGGACTGTGCCTCAGCATGTCCATCACCCAGAGTGGGGCTGTGCACAGAGAGTAAGAAGGGGTTGGGTGCTCCTTGGCATAGGGGATGTGAGGAAGACTGCCCTGAGGAGGTTTAAACAGAAACTGGAGTGATTGGCAGCAAAGAGCCAGACAGATGCTGCGGGAACAGTGCCCTAGGAAGGGGTGTTCAGGCCACAGGACAGTAGCCAGCATGGCTAGAATGCAAAGGAGCAGGGGACTGGCAGAGCAATTGCTGCCCTGGGGACAGGTGGAGAGCTTACTCACAGACAGGTGTGGGGGGACTCGGGGGAGCATTGGCTGAGCAGCTAAGACGCTGCTTAGGATGTTCAGATCCCATGCACTGCTGCCTGATTTGAAGTCTCAGCTCCACGCTCGATTCCAGGGGTCTGTTCATGCACCCTGGAGGCAGCAGTGATGGTTTCCCACAATCGCAAGCATTTGAGGAGTGAATCAACATTTGGGAGATCCATCTACAAATGCGTGTGGTCTGCTTCTCCTATTTATTTTTTTTAATAGATCACTCAAATAGAGCATTTTAAAAAATTTATTATCGCTTTTTATTTTTATTGGAAAGGCAGATTTACAGAGAGAAGGAGAGACAGAGAGAAACATCTTCCATTCCCCAAGTTGCCGCAATGATTGGAGCTAAGCCAATCCAAAGCCAGGAGCCAGGAACTTCTTCTGGGTCTCCCACATGGGTGCAGGGTCCCATAGGCCTTGGGCCATCCTCGACTGTTTTCCCAGGCTACAAGTAGAGAGCTGGATGGGAAGTAGAGCAGCCAGGATGCAAATTGGCACCTATATAGGATCCTGGTGCGTGCAAGGTGAGGATTTAGCCAATTGAAGCAATGCACTGGACCTGGTCTCTCTGTTTCTCTCTGTTTCTGTGTCTTCTTACCTTTAAAATAAGTGTATAATTGGAAGAATAATTTGAGAGGCCTCTTGGATACCTAATGCGGACTCTGAAGAAGACATGAATGGGCTGTTTATGTATGGAGGCCAGGAAAGGCAAAAGTTCAGGCCTCCTTGGAGCGGCAGGGAAGATTAGAACTCAGCAGAGAGCAACAGATCACCTAAGGCGAGTAAGTACTAAGGCCAGAGAGCTCCAAGGTCCCAGCCCTGTGTGAATAACCGCTGTGGTAGGAAAAAAAAGCAGCTGAATGCAGGGGGGGGGGAACCAACGAGCACAGTGAAGAGGCTCCACTTCCCATTCAGCTCCCTGCTCAAGTGCCTGGGAAGACAGCAGAGGATGGCCCAAGGGCTTGGGCGTCTGCACCCACATGGGAGACCTGGAAGAAACTCCTGGTTCCTTGCTTCAGCCTGGCCCAGCCCTGACGGTTGCAGCCATTTGGGGAATGAACCAACAGATGGAAGATCTTTCTCTCTCTCTCTCTGTAACTCTATCTTTCAAATTAATAAATAAATATTTTAAAAAAAAAGGAAGGAAAGCATTAAAAGTATCTGATGCAATGTGTGGGACACATTCCACTATAAAGCTATTCATTGTTCATATAAAATTCAAATGTGACTGAGTGTCCTGCATGCTTGCTTGCTCAACCTAGCAGCCTTCAGGCTGAATGCCCTTGGCCAGGCTGTGGTCACCCCTTTGAGTTTCCTCCTGATAAACCAAGTAAAGACACTGAGCTGTTCCATGCTGAGAGTTAAGTCAGATCTTCATGTAAAGGGTTCAAGCCAAGACATGAGCCACTCCCTCCTAGAGACCCAAAACAAATGCCCTTGAATTAGAATGACACAGAATTTCTCAGAAATGCTGCATCAAATGGGAGTTTTAACTGGCCTCTGCCTGGGATGACAAGCGTAGGCATATTGGGCTGGAAACAGAGGGTTAATGAAAGACATTGAAATGGTGTTTCTGCCTGATTGCTCAGTTTGATCTTGGACTGTCCCCAAATCAGCAAGCCAAGTAAGGAAACAGAGAGAAGGAGAGAGAGAGAGAGAGAGCCATGCTGGTGTGGGCAGTGGGTTAAGGTGCCACTGCTTGTAGCACCACTGACATCTTGTATTGGAGTGCTGGTTGGAGTCCTGGTTGTTTTCACTTCCAATCCAGCTTCCCGTTCATGTGCCTGGGAAGTCAAGGAGGATGGGCCCAGGAGCTCGGACCCTCTTATGCATGGGAGAGACCCACATGGAGTTCTTGGTTTCTGACCTTGGCCTGGCCCAGTTCTGGTCTTTGCAGCCCTTTGGGAAGCTGAACCAGGGGACCAAGATTCTGCCACTCCGTTTTCCAAATAAATATAATACAGGTCATTATAGATATTATAATACAGGTGGTGAGGGGTGTGATCCTCAGAGAAGCCAGTAGGGGGAGTGTGTGCACTTGGGGATAGAATTGAACTAACACTAATCCAGCCCAAACCGGCCGCAGGTTTTCCACATTTCAAAGACACCTGTGTGTTTCACAAAGCCTGGGGGTGTGGGGTACTGCACTGGTCCTCTGAGAATGCAAACACCCCCAACCTCCATCCTACCCACCATAAAAATATATATATATATATATGAAGCAAGTCAAACAGAACTAGCCCCTAGGGACCATGAGAGTTGTAGAAAATGAAAGATCAGCATGAATTGGGACAGGAGGAACAAGGCTTTGTGTTAAGAGACCAAAAGAGAAATATTGTAGTACAAAGACTTTCAGAATATAGATTGATATTCCCAACCATCCGTAAACCAAAACAAACAGGACCCACAGAGGAGGAAGGGAATAAATAACATTATATTCTCTACCTACAAACTATATTGAATCTGTTAAAAATTAAAAACTTCAAAAGAAAATCTTCTTTAAAAATCTGTTTTAGGGCCCGGCGCGGTGGCGCAAGTGGTTAAAAGGTCCTCGCCTTGCACGCCCGGGATCCCATATGGGCGCCGGTTCTAATCCCGGCAGCCCCGCTTCCTTTCCTGCTCCCTGCCTGTGGCCTGGGAAAGCAGTCGAGGACGGCCCAAAGCTTTGGGAACCTGCACCCGCGTGGGAGACCCGGAAGAGGCTCCTGGCTTCGGATCGGCATAGTATCGGCCCGTTGCGCTCACTTGGGGAGTGAATCATCGGACGGAAGATCTTCCTCTCTGTCTCTCCTCTCTGTATATCTGCCTTTCCAATGAAAAAAATTAAAAAAAAAAAATCTGTTTTAAGCATAGGTTCAGAAAAGGAAAAGAAAGCAAGATTCAGCTCCCTGTTAACGTAGCTGGGAAAACAGTGGAAGATGGGCCAGGTACTTACTTGGGCCCCCTACCCATGTGGGAGAGCTGGAAGTTCTTGGTTTCAAATTACTCCAGCTCTA